CATGTGTCTTCAGAGAAGTTTGGTTCCTGTCCTCCTTCTGCTTTGAGATAACAATCCAGACTGTCTTTACTCTGATGGTTCTCTACTTTCCCATTTTCACATGTTTTCCCTCCAGTCATAGCCATTTATTTTCTGTGCTGCTGCACAAATGTTTTCTTCAAGAGCAGAAAGCTCAGCCCTGTTAGGTGTCTGGAGCAGGAGGGTTGGAAGAGACCTCCATGGCTTGTGCAGATCATCTCTTACCCCAGGACAGGATTAACTGTACCAAGATCTGTTTCTGGATAAATCAGCATCCCCACCCCTCAAAAACTCAAGGCTCTGTGCCCTTCCCACTGTCTGTCCCCCTTTTTCACCAGATTCATTATTAATGTTTTCTTCTCATGCCCAAATCAAATGTCTCCTCCTGCAGTTTAAACCCAGCCCTTCCTCTTCCATCCACCACCAACATGGAAAACAGATTATACTTCTTCCCCATTCAGCTGTTTTTTATATATTTGAATATTGTGAACATTCCTAGTTCTCCAGATTAGATGGGATTTGTTTCTTCCATGCCAGAGTACATCCAAACCAACAGAGCAGTGCTCAGAGCAGTAAATTTCCCCTAATAAAATCCTGTGGGGTCTTCAGTATGAAAGAGAAATTGTCACTTGATATAAATGAAAACATTTGGTGAGGGAAAACTCTCAAATAAATAATAAGAATAAAAAAAACAAAAGAACAGGAATTTGGAAGAAATTATGTTTAAAAGGTTTCCAACTGGTGCTTTTTCTGAGAGAAGGGATAGGCCTTATTTCTAGGAGGTAAAGCTGTTCCTTGAAGTGTGGCATAGCCCTTCCAAATGAGCCTCCTGGTGCATTGTGCAGATGTTCAGGGGTGTAAATATCATGTTAGGCTGCCACTGGCAATGCAGCCTAGATCAGACCCCACAGGGGTGAGTTCCCCTTCACCCTGCTCCACATACAGGACCAGTTCCATATAGCACCTGAGAATCTCACTTTGTCCAGTCTAGTGGAAGATGTCCCTGCCTTTAAGGTCCCTTCTAACCCAAACCATTCTATGATTCAACTTGTTTGCTGGGAAATTTGGGTATTTAAAGTCTTGCAGGTGCTGTGCAAGAGCAAGCACGCCCTGAGGGTTGTTCATCTCATCTGAATTTCAGGTGTCCTACTCAGACCACTCAAGTCATCCTTTGGAGATGTTTTCTCTTGGCTAGCTGCAAGTGATTCACTAGGTGAGGCAAATCCCACCTGAGGTTTGTGGGATTGGTGGACGTGGCTTCTTTAGTGCTGTTTCATGGGAATTTGCTGGAGAACCCCAAGGTGAGGTCAACAGTGGAGTCAGGACCTGGTTCAGCATCACCTGTGCCTCACCTTGGCTTTTGCTTCATCTGCTCCTGGCCTAGGTGCCCCATGAGGAAGCCAACGCTGAGCCAATATCAATACAGATGACAAGGGGGTGTGTTGGGAATAATGGCATGGCTGAGACTGACAGCTGTGGGAAGAAGAAAAGAGATTCTTTATTATATTGCCTGGTTTTTCCTGCCTGTGGATTAAGAGCCTGAGTCTGGAGTAAAAACCAAGGGAATGGGAGCAGTGACAGGGAACAATCAGATCAGCTGGAACCATCACTGTACAGAAACAATGAACAAGGGATCTGAAACCAGGGAATTCTCCCCTCCCTGCTCTTTCCAACACATTTCGTAGCACTTTCCTTTGTGCTCTTGCCTGGTGTAATGTCACCTTGAGCCTCTTTTGGTGTTGTTACCCATCCCCTGGTTTACAGGCTGACGGTGTGGCGTGCGGTCTTTGATTTGGTTTCCAATGGACACACTGGTTTCCAGTGAACTTCAGACTGCCACTGGAGTACAGTGGTGTGTGCTGCTTGTGTAGTGTTGATGATTGCAGGCCAGCCAGTGTGCTACTGTTAGCAGTATGGCTGGGGACTCTGTTTGAAGTGTTAATTAGCAGCAATTAATCAGAAGTGAAAAATTAATACCCTATGTCAGCTTTCTTTGCTAGTTAGTTATATCAACACCAAAGCTCAGAGCTATTTTGAAGCTTGTGTTTGCATGAGAGTTGGGGCTTGTTGTCACATAGTACTGGGAAAATACTTAAGTGCTTTCCTACCATAACTGGTAAACTAGTTATTCCCAAAATAAGAAGCCAAGCTGTAGCATCTGATAGACCCAGTTTTCTTGGGATGTGGATGCTTTCAACATGACATTTCAAAACTAGTAAGTTTTCTGTAGCTTAAGCAAAAAAATACATTACGATAGAATTAAAAAACCAAACATGTTGATGATGTTGTACAATCTTCCCAAGAGATTCTGCATTTCCCCCTTTTAATTGTATCAAACCCAGCCCCAGACATGGCCACCAAGGATGGATCCCAAGGGTTTTGCAGGTACCTTGAGTGGGTTCCTGCTGGTTTTCCCATTCATGTTCCATTTCTGATGGGAAATTCCCTGATCCAGGGGAATGGGTCCCTCTTGTGGGTCTGGTGGCAGATTTGAGGCTTGACTGCATAGGAAACAGCAAACACTGTTACGGTCTGATTGGACACCTTCAGCTTTTTATCAGCTCATAACATTTTTTATCAGCATCATAGGAGCATCACAAGATTTAACTACAATACCAAGAGGCTTGTGTTTCTTCTTGGTATTTATGTTGTTACCCCTGAGGTCTCTTTAAGAGGATGGATTTGTTGTGTTTAAATTGATCTCTGTGTTTCCCTCTGTTATTTGATTTTTGTTTTAGTAGTTTTATTGTCTGGTCCTAGGCAAAAATGAAAACAGCTGAGCCCACCCAAGGTTTAGCTTCAGCTAACACCTCCCCTTCTCTCACATGTAACAAGCTCCATGTAAAATCCTGATACTTAACTAATTTATTATCAATAGTATTTATGGAATATTTTCTACCAAAGGAGAAGTGGTTTTTTGACTTTCAGTAAACTGATTCGAGTTTCATTGTTAATTGAATGTTAATATACACTGGGGATGAGTGATGTGCATGTTCTGAGTTTAGCTGCACTCAAAATACTCAAAGTATATAATACATTTAATTTATTGTCAAGTCTCATGTCTACAAAGAATTAACAGAAAGTGCTGTAGTGGCCATGGCAGTGAGGAAGGGATTGTTATTACTTGTGGAATGCTCAAAGTCTACTGAGCACTTTGTGAAGAGACCAACAACCACATTACTCTGAACTGGTTTATGATCTCCAGTTTTAAGTGTATTTTCCCCCTTTCATTAGCAGGTTCCTTTTGGGGTGGGGAACACAAATTGCCCAAACAACCTTCAGTCTGGGGTCTATCACCTGCTTTGGCAATTTGCTTCTACCCATGATATTTTGTGAGCAACCCATGGTTTTTGCATGGTTTGAATGTCTGTCCAGCAGCTAATCCCACCATGGTCCAGTTAATGGATATCACACTTCCACTTGACATGCTCCTCACCTTTTTCAGTTTTGCCCAGAACTGCTCACACGTGTCCATTTCTTCTTTTCACTTGTCATTGGAACAGCCTTAAAAACTGGGGATGAAAGATCTATGACAGAACACTCTCCTTTCTATTTTATAACCTCCATATCTAGTCTTCTAGAATATGCCTCCAGAGTAGTAAAAGCTGAAAAAATCCCATAATATTTTTACAGTCTTATTACCTCCTGCTTTTCCTGGCCTCTGGCAGTAAACTTTTTTCCTACTTTTAGTCACACTTCTTGCAGAGCTTTTGGTGCCAGCACTGCCAGCACAGTCCTCTCTGTCATGCAGGTCTTGGAGGCATCCAGTAATAAGCAGGACAAGTCATGCACATTGGCTATTCTGGACACACACCTTCCCTACTATCTGTCTTTGCTTTAGCATATCTTGTGTGAATAGCTGGTTCCCTCTGTGCCCATAACCCCAGCTCTTGGTTTCTCTTTTTCAGTCCTCCTTCGACACCTCGTAATTCATCACCAGCTCAGAGAATTTTACTGAAAAGCTCACTCTGGAGTTCTTTTTAATCTACTCCTAAAGGTGTATCTCTGGGTATTGCTTGTCTGGTGGCTTAGTGTAGCTAGAAATATAGTTCTCATTTAGTCTTGTGTCTGATTCAAGATCTAGTCAGCCCTTTCTCATATCATTTTTCATATCTCTCTGGTTTTATTCCACTTTATATTTACTATGGTCATTTCTTCTAGAAGAATCTCCTCTGCCAACATAACCCAATTTAAAATGAGTTAATATTTGCTGCCCTGTGTGTTCCTAACTGGTATAGTTACCTTAGATCAGTCTTCATTCAATGAACTATCACAGCCAGCACTATTTCATTAGGGTATCTGCATTTTGCATACTGATTTTTATTTTTTAGATTTATTCCAGTCTCTGCCAAGTATTTTCCCTTTAGTGTTTCCTCTGTCTCGTTATCACAAATCATCCCCTTTGGAAGTTTGAATATTTATGGAGTGAGACATATCTGACATCAAAAAGTTGGAAGTCAAGGTGCTGGAGGATGGTGGAATTGACATTTCCTACCTTTTTTTTTTTTTTTTTTTTTTTTTTTTTTTGTGTGGGTTGTGCCACCTCATGGGCTGATCCTTCTCTCTCTGTTGGTGGTGTTAGGAGCTGAAGTGAACTGTGAGATGTGAAGCCTCTGGGTGCTGTTTATTACCTCATTCTCTTCTCTGTCATCATTATTGTTGTTACTGCTGTTATGATACTGCCACTAAGGTCCTTTGTTGTGTTTTTTATCCACCTCTAGCTTCATCTTGGAGGTGAGAGTAAGATCAAAGTGTTACAATCAGAGAATCACAGAATTGTTTATGTTGGAAAATACCTCTAAGATCATTGAGTCCAACTGTGTCAAGATGGGATAACATGAAAACCATCATGAAAGGCTGAGGGAAATGGGTTGGTGTAGGCAGAACAAATCACTCATGGTTTTTCTTTTTGTTTTAGCTTGTCCTCCAGGCACTCCCTGCTGCAGGATGAATTAGGAAGGCAAAGCCTCTTCCTCTGAACGATGGAGACAAGAGCATCTTTCATTGCCACCATGCGAGAGACCCAACACCTCTCCCCGGAGAAGGGTCAGAGCCCTGCGAATGGCAACAGGGAGCAGTTTGATTCAGGTGAGCTCCCCTTGACCCCCAGGGGTGTTGGCACTCTTACAGCCCTCCAGCTGATCACAGGTAGAGCAGGGAGCAGCTGTGCTGCCAGGGAGGCACTGGGAATGGCTGTACAGCTCCAAAACCTTGTCTGAGTCTTATGGATTGGACTCAAAATCCCATGATTGATGGGATGGGAAATAAGAGCTTTTCTTCTTCTGGATTTCTTCTACAGTATGCATCAGCTGTTCAAAATTTAAACAAAAAGCAGTGGAAAACCTTTCCCAGGACATCACATTTTGTTCTTCCAGTTTTCTCACCTTTTTATTTCATTAAAGTTTTGTGGTTAGAGAGGAGATGAACATTCTGAAATGACAGTGTTTCTTCTTTGTTTTGACCTCCCTCCTTTCCTTGACAATTTTTTGAGCACTTCAGGTGAGAGAGCTTCACAAACATTAGATCAGCCAGTGGACAGCTGGTCAGATGTTGTCCATGTGCTCATGGGAATGAGTAGATGCTTTGTAATGCTCTGGGATGGGTACCTGTGTGCTAAATTTGGGCATCATTGTGGTAGGTACAGAAAAATAGGTGCTCTATTCTGGTGATTTCTGATGGAATTAGGTGCTTTAATTTCCCATATCTAGCCTTACCAGGAGGAGACTATGTCTTATGGTGAAGATGTACATTATGGTTAGAACAAGTCTACTGACTTTCTGATGCCAAAATGGGATGATACCATAAATTTCTGCAGGGGTGAGGATTTTAGTGATTCTCCCAAGGCTGTGCCAGAGTTTTGTGGTTGCTCAGGTGTCTGTGTGTCCTCCCATCCACACACTTAGTGTGTTAACTACTAAAGCATTTCAGTTCTCTGTTCACTCACTAAGTCACAGATGTATGTGCTGTAAATATCCAAGCAAATTGCTCCAAATACATTCCCTTTAGTGAAGCCTGGAAAAAATCTGTGCTTCTGCAGCCACAGGTTGTGGGTCCTTTATCTCCTTTATTTCCCATAGCCAAACATCAGGGGAGGCTGTTAACAGCTGGAGCAGTTGTGTTTTTATAGTGTCAATGCATGAGCACTTTAAAGCCATTGAGAGGCTCACAGATAATGACTTGTTGATTTTATTTGCCATCATGGGCTTGTTTATACATCACTGTATTGTAGGCCAGCCAGCCTTGACTCTTCATTAAGAAAAAGCTCTGGACCTAATTGCCAATAATTGGAAAGGGAGCTGATATGTAAAATAGGTCTAACGCCAAACACTTTTCAGGGTGTCCTCATTCTGATGGATGAGGAGATTTGTGCTCAGTCCCATAACATGTGAGGATGGTGTTGTGGCCTTTGGGGTGCTCTCATCCCTCTGTCACACTGTCTCTGTTCTGGATGTGTCCCTGCCAGATTTCTAGCAAGGAACAAAATCCATTAAAAAAACCACTTTGGAAATGTACATTCCCTTCAAAATTTGTTGTGATGAAATGAAGCAAAATAAACCACTGATGCTGTGATAAATGAGTGCTCTGACATTATTTTTATAGGCCTTGTAAAAGTAATTTCCTGATAAAGTCTGTAGATAAAACACAGTAGAGAGGCCAGACTGGTGATGTGTCAGAGAGAAATGAGCTGACAGGAAAGGAAGGCTGCAGCTCTCACACTGCCTCACCTCTGGGTCTGGAAGTCTCTCTGTTTGGGTTTAGAAAGGAGAAATCATAACAGGTGATGTTCTGAATTTTGCTGGACTGCATGGGAATGACCTGCTGGTGTGGCTGTGGGAACAGTGGGGACACTGAGTCTCTGTGCTGGCCTGGGGCAGAGTAGGTCAGGGTTAAGAAGATTATGAAGTGCAGAAGGGCTTGATGCATCTATCACTAGTATCATTATGCTAACACTATTGGAAAGCTATTGCCAAAATCTGGAGAAGATATTGACCTTTGGAGATGTTGCTCCTTGCAACATCTGGAGATCATATAGTGAACAAAAAAGTCTCTACATCTCCTGTACTGTGGAACGACTCCTTCCTTAAAGACTACTGAGGCAGGATGGAGAAAAGAGATGCCTTGACTGACACACAGGTTAGAGCAAAAACAGGAATAAAAACTGAGACTATACAGTGTCATGGACTGAGGGAAATGGCTCATGGTCTGAAATGGAAGTATCTGAGCTAAAGCACAGAGCCCATGGCTGACCTGGAAATCATGGAATCATATAGGTTGGAAAAGCCCTTTAAGATCTTGGAGTCCAGCCATTACCCCAGCACTTCCAAGTCACCACTAAACCATGTCCCTACAGGCACATCTGCCTGTCTTTTAAATACCTCCAGAGGTGGTGACTGCACCACTTCCCTGGGCAGCCTGTTCCAAATGCCCTGTCAATGTCAGATGTCCTGAGATGATGTCCCTGGGGTTGTTGAGCTGCCCATCCCAATACCACAATGCAGGTGGATGCAGAAGCAGAGAGAGAGAAGGGATGGTGCACTTTTAGTTTTACATGCCAGATGCTTCTGACTTTTAATGGAACAGGGATTGGTTGTGCTCAGGGCAACAAGTTACTTAAGTAAATTTAAGCCTGGAATGGATAATCATATCTGCACATCTACTCACAGATTAGCATACTTTATTTTAGAGGCTCAGCCTTTGAAATCTCTGGACCTGGCTCTTCTGTAAACATTAACTCCACAGGGTTGCAGGCATTAAGGTGGAAAAACATCCCTGTTCATCTAAATTGCCTGCCTGCATGGTGCAGAATTTTTACACCAAGTTCCTACCTTGTGGTTAAGTTGTGGCCTATATTTCAGTCAAGGTTGAACAAACCTCTCATTTTGGGTCAAACAGCTCAAGTAGAGCCAACGACAGTGCCTGAAGGTTTTGCAATGACTGTTAAAAACACAAAACAAAGCCTGTTCTTTATTCTGCATTGAATTTGTCTGTTTCCAGGCTGTAATCATGGGGTTGGGTTATTTCTTGTCTTGCTGAGTTGAAGAGTCATCTGGTAGCCACTTTATCACTGGAGTAAATGTTGATTTACATCTTGATATTTAAGCAGGTTGGTTGAGTTTAGAGCAAGGAGTCAGACAGTGCAGCAGTGTGAGTGTTTTAACTGTTTTGACAGCTCAGCATTCCTCTTTGAACTCCCAGACTCTTCACCCTCCACCAGCTCTGTCTCAAAAACCTTCTTCTGATCCACGTGCTCCCTCTCACCTATGTCCTCCTGGTTCCATAGGCAGCAAATAAAACCTGTGTCTTCCCCTTTTAATAATGAGTGATTCCCATTGCACCACATAATTTTCTGGCCCTGAAAACTGGAGACCTGTAGCAATAATTGCAATAAATTAACCCTGCTGTTTTCTTCATAAAACTGTCTGGGGAGGGTTCTTAATTCAGTTTGTCATGAGTCACTTTAATTACATCATGACCACACTGATGAATGTTTGGGCAGGTAAAGGGTCTCGCAGAGTTTGCCTGATAAATGCTTATTGCAAAGAGCTCATTGCTAGACTGTAAATATTTTTGCTCTGGGGATGAAACTGGGTTTGTGAGATTGCTTGGGAACAAAATCAAAACAATCAGATTTGGCTGATTTTCTGTAAGTGAAAGAAGATTTATTTTTAATTATTTCTATGTGTGTTTCCGCGACGGTTTGGGGCCTCAGCTCGGCTCTGCTCACTGAGGTTGTAAAGAAAGGAATACAAGAAAGAGTAGTCATGTCAAGTCCTTCCCTGTGGGAAAGGATTGTAGGGCCAGTGGATGGGGGAGGTGTGATGCAGAGCCCCAAATCTGCAGTGGGGCAAGGACAAACTCAGGGATCAAGAAGGCAGTAGTGGTCTGGTGAGGGGTGCTGGGGAAAAGCAGCTTAGTTTTGGGGGAAGGAGGAGGCATGGGGACCTCCTCTGAGATTTATTGGTGGAGAGATGCTGAGGAAGGAGAGAAGAGGTGGCAGAACTGAGAATGGGACTCCCTAGCCACAGTGGTTGGGATGTTAGTCTACACACTGCTCCACCAACAGAAGAATGTTACCATTAGGGCACTGCTGTAATTAACAGTGCTGGGAGGTGACTTCTGGGGCATGAGTGAGGCTGTTGCACCTTTGTGGTAGTGGCCAGGCAGCCACTCCCTTGCAGCAGGAGAGTCATCAAATAGGAGATAAAAGAGCACAAGTGTTTGTTGCAGTGTAGGATGGGTTTGTTCCCCTACTGCTGTGAAAGCAGAGTCATTTCTGGTCTCAGTGTTGGCTGCTAAAGTCCCAAAGTCTGCTGAAGGCATAGTAAGAGCTGGTCAAAACACAGATCTTTAGAGCAAACTTTCTGTTTTCCCTTCTGTTGATGTTTATACTGGTTGCTATTCTCACCCTGAACTCTTCGACACAACTTTTGCCTTCTTTGGCTCTGTTTTAGGCTTCTTTCATTTTGTAATTTTTTTTTTTCTTATGAACAGATGAGGGCTCCAGCATTGAGGATGCTGACTTCAACTGGGATGAGTTCCTGGAGGAAACAGGAGCCAGTGCTGCTCCCCACACCTCCTTCAAACACGTACGTGCTTCGTCTGAGCCTCGGGGTGTTGCATGTGTTTCCTCCTCTGGTTTTCAGGGTGTCCCTGGAGAACTGAAGTGGGGTCTGATCATTTTGTGGAGAAATCATTCCTCCATGCATGTGACAGCCTGTGTGGAAATAGCCCCCCAGCTGGTGTTAGATGACCCTGGTGTGTTTGCAGTCACAGCTTGGAGCACTGTCTATTCCACTTTGTTATCCTCTGCCTTCAGTTCAGACTGTCCATTTTTTGGGCATATATTCCTCTCCTTTTGCTTACAATGCACTCTTTTTTTTCCCTCTTAATTTATATTCCATTCTTTTTTCATTGTTGTCCATGCCAGCCTGTAGAGATACATCTCACAAGAGTGTCTTATTTCTGTAAAGCTCCTGTTAGTGCATGGTTTACTGACTAGCAGGGTCACTCAGCACCCAAACAAGTTACTTCTTTCAGTGATGGGTCATACCTCGTTTACCAGGGTGCTGGGAGGGTGAATCTGTTGAGGCTTGAGCTGCTGGGGATGGGTTCAGTGGAAACTCTTTCCTTAGTCTGCCTGGAGCAGCATTCAGCCCCTGTTGCTTGTCAGGTCTCAAGAGATGCATCAGTGTTGTTACATGACTTGTTATTGCAGTTCAGCTTAATTCCTAGAGGTGCTTCATACTTGCCTTTCTACCTCACATGTCCTGTGATTTGCCTGACAGAGATGTGCAGTAGGAATGAAACCTCATTTGAGTTATGTCAACTTTCTCCCAGGCATTAGTGAGATTTCTGATGCATAAATGGGTATGAATCCTCTCTTGGTTGTAGTGCACCTCAGTTTGTCACTGCTGGAGTGCCTCTTTGGAGCATGTGGGATCTTGCATGATGGGGTATGTGCCAGTGAAGTAGGAATGGAACTGCCCAAATAGATTGTGAAGGAGGTGGTTGGATTAAGAAGCACAACCAACTCAGGTTCTATGCCAGAGCTGCTCTTTAAGGACAGCAGTAGCAGGAAAGGGGGTGTCTTCCTGCAAAGAAGAAAAGGTAACACCATGTCTTTCTCATTTTGCAAGGTTGAAATAAGCCTTCAAAGCAGTTTCCAACCAGGGATGAAATTAGAAGTGGCCAACAAGAGCAGTCCAGACACATACTGGGTGGCTACAATCATTACAACATGTGGACAGCTCTTACTGCTTCGTTACTGTGGCTATGGAGATGACCGCAGGGCAGACTTCTGGTGTGACGTGATGACAGCAGATCTGCACCCAGTTGGCTGGTGTACACAGAACAACAAGGTCTTGATGCCTCCAGATGGTGAGCTGTGTCTGTTTTGTCAGGGTTGTGCTCTAGTATTGGGCTGGTGGTTAACCTTGACGTCTCTAGTTGGTCTGGAATGGGTACTCCAGTTCCTCAGCTGGTGTTGGGTGATACAGTCAGGGTTATGTCCCCACGGGTCAATGGGTGATTCAGTTTGCCAGTCAGCATCTAGCCAAGGCATTTTTGTCCTAGTTGGTAGCAACAGAAGGCACTTCCATAGGAAGTTGCCTGAACAAGGAAACTGCCTGCTGAGCTGTAAAGCTGTGATTTTCAGTTAGGGGTGAAAACTGTCCTGTTCTTGTAGAAAGGAGGGATGAAATTCAGAGTGAGAACAAACTAAACTCAGCCAGATCAGTTTGGGTGTAATCAAAAATCAGAAGTTGGCTGAGCACTCAAGTGGTTTGCCCTGAAAGTTTAACATCTTTTCATTCTGAGGGTAGATATACCTGATTAAAGACAGCAACATTTGGTCATTATGGGTTGGGGCATGTCCTGATTGTCAGCTCTTCTGTGCACAAAAGCTGAATGCAAGCATTGATACTGATACAGATACTGAGTGGTCCATGTGGAACAGTTTGTTACTAATGCAATTTGATCCCCAGTGTGTAAGAATATATATATTAGATGTATATAGGCTATGTATATCAACAGAGCAGCTCTGTATCCTTACTACTACATAGCTCCAAGCAGAATCAAACTTGTCACTGTTACTCATATGTATTCCTGCCATATATCCCATTTATTATGGATCAAGGGAAGAAGAGATGAATATTTAGCCTCCAGCTTGTGCATACTTATAAGAAAAGTCTCATTTAAGGATTCTGCTGCTGAAGTTATTCTTTTGCTTTCTGTTACATGTGACCAGGGGAAAAAAAAGTCTATGTGCCAGTTGTGTTCCATGTGTGATTTCTCTTGGTGTATGTGTTGCCTGACTTCCCACTGAAGTGAGCTGTAGACATGTTTTTTGACTCAAATGACATTCCTGCCCAACTCTGAGCTCAACATATCTTTTTGTTCTGGTCTGTGTGTTTCGGATAAACACAAGACTGATTGCTTAAAAAAGAAAGAAGTCTTGAAGATAAATATGTCTGAGAAATCTGTTGTAAGCACCAGTAAATCAAGCTGATGTGAGAGGGGTGAGGTATTGTATTTTATTGGGCTCTTGAACTACATTTTATTATGTGGATTATAATCAGTGTTCCTGGAAAGGTGCACAGTGCAACAAACTGAATCTCAAAATGTGAGGGTCAGGGGGCTGAGAGATCTTACCCAATGCCCTAATATAAAGTAACAATTGCCATATAACCAGAGGCAATTCCTTTTCATGGATATGTTGGAATTTGCCCTTTGGGTCATGATTACTTTGTGTGAATTGTCTTGCTTGAATGACTGCAAATATGCAGTGTGTCATACATCCTTTCTCCTCTAGCTGGGTGATGTAACTGTACACCAGGGGCTGAAGTTTGGGCCACTGCCTTGTTGGTTTTTGTTGTTTGATTTGATTCCTCACTCCCATTCTCGGTGAATAAACTTTATTATGTCTTAGTATAATTTTCAGAAAGAATAAATGAAGTGCATAGATTGTTATTCCAACAGAGGTTTAAGTGTTTGATTTGGATTTTTGGAATTAAGCATCTAAAACACCTAAAAGATTTGAGTCTTCAGGACTTGAGGACTTACAGAATCATAGAACATATATATTAGTGAAAGAGAAATTAATGCTCTCTATGAACTCGATGGAGATTTTTTACCTTTATAACCTTTATATCAATGCACATTATTCTGTTATCAAACCTTTGGAAGAAACAAAGCCCAGCTTCAAATTGCATTTCCAGAGGAACTGTTTCTGAACATCTTGATTACCATGAAGATATCTGTTGGCAAGACAATGCAGACAGTATGGCCAGGGCTGGTTATCTGTCATTAGGCTTTGATTTTCATCAGGAGCTGAAGATTTTGGTTAAAAAGCAGATCTGCCAAAAAAGGACTTGTTTAATGGCCAAAATGACAGCACAGGGACAATGCTCTGTTTCTGCTCTTGAATCAGATTGGACTGATCAGTGCTTGTCTTATAAATGTAATGCCAGACAAGAATGGCAGAGTGATGGGACAAAGAATTTTATTAGATGGGAGAGAGATGAGAGAAAACAAGCCAGTTCAGTTTAGCAAATCAATAGAACTTGATTTAATGTCCAGCACACACAGAGCTTTTAAGGGACAACTGCCAAATAAATGTTGTTTATGATGCCAATAGAAGGAAGTTGGTTAATTTACAGACTGATGCCTGATTATTTACTGGGTGACGTTAGTGTTGCATCATGTGGCCTGGGAGTGGAATGTCAAGTCATGTTATGTCCTCCCATGACGTGATGGTGCTGGATGCCCTGGATTGGGACTGCTCAAGCCAAATACTTGAGTTTGCAGTAAAATATCTTGGCTTATGAGAGGACAACGTGAGTGCATGTGTGCCTGTGAGCTTCACCCTCCACCCCCTCCTCCTTCGCAGGAAATCAAAGGAGTAAAATTGTAGTTACTTCAAGCTTTGCCATTAATTATATTTTTCTCATTACAAATCGGTGTGTAATTTGAATTGCAAACTCAACTATCCTGGCAGAATAGATCTGTTTACCATTCAAAGCAAAATGAAAATTATTTAAATTAGTTAATACAGAACTCATTTGAATGAATTGGATGTTTATTCATGAAGTAGCTGAGGCAAGTGTGAAGCTGTCCTTATGGTCTGTAGCTTTGGCACTGATCAGCTCTAATGTCACGTCCTGGGACAGAGATTTCTTTTTTATTGCATATTAACTGTGGTGTAGAGCAGTGGGTAACTACTGCCTGATGTAGCTGAGTGTGAAATTTTCATCCTTTCTGACAAGGCCCTTCAGCAATTGTAATTCATATGAGGAAGGACAACCTGCTTTAAAGTTCACTGGCAGTGGCAAGGCTGTGGTGGTATAGGAGGCTTTGTTTTCTGCACTGCAGGGGTGGGATGTAACATAGATTTTCCATCAGTTAGTTCAAGTTTCCCCATTACATCAGTCTGCATGGAAATAGGGACAGCATTTATCCCCTCCCATGTCTTCCCCAGACGCTGTTCTTCTCCTCAGCACAGAGCTGATGTGGTTGTTTGTCAACATCCTTCATCCCTTGGGATGTTTTACCCAGTGAGCATTAAAAATTTAAACCTAACTAAACTTTCCCTGACTAGCAATTCCTTTAACTGTGAAAGGAAAAGAGGCCTCTTGCCTCTTTTAGCCTGTTCTCTCCATGTGCTGTTTTCCTTTGTTGATGCCAGTTGAGTTCATGAACACATTTACCATCGGGTACAAGAGCAGTGTGGAGAACCTGACAAGAGTAGTAGCTAAATTATGCATCGTGAACCACGCGGAGAGCAGGGACGTCTCTTTGATTGACACTCGGGTGTTTTTGTACAGATTGCAGATTTACAGCTGAGCCAACAGAGCCCAATCTCTCCTGGCACTATCTTAATGCATTCTGGGATGCTCTAAAGACACTGGACGACAAGATTATTGTGTACACTTGTAATTGCCGCGGTGATTCGGCTTTAATGCTGTTGACAGATGGAAATTCAAATGGGGCATTTCGGTGTGCAGATCTGAGTGGTAAGCTGGAGGCTGCTTGTCTTGTAAACCAAGAGGCAGAGGAGACTGGAGATCATAGAATTATATTATAGAATCATAGAATTTTAGGGGTTGGAATGCACCTTACAGATCATCTAGTCCCAACCTCCTGCCATGGGCAGGGACACCTCCTCACTAGACCAGGTTGCTCAAGGCTTTGATCACTGACAGGGTTGGGGATCCACTACCTCCCTGGGCAATCTGTGCCAGTGTCTCACCACCCTCACAGGAAAAGATTTTTCCCTAATATCTAACCTAAATTTTCCCTCCTTCAATTTGTATCCATTACTCTTTGTCCTATCACTGCGGTTTCTAACCAAGAGTCCCTCTCCAGCTTCCCTGTAGCCCCTTCAGATACTGATAGACTGCTATGAGGTCTCTACACAACCTTCTCTTCTCCAGACTGAGCAGCCCCAAATTCCTTGACCTGTCTTCACAGGGCAGATGATCCAGTCTTCTAATCAAGTTTCTTCAATTTGTATCCATTACTCTTTGTCCTATCACTGCGGTTTCTAACCAAGAGTCCCTCTCCAGCTTCCCTGTAGCCCCTTCAGATACTGATAGACTGCTATGAGGTCTCTACACAACCTTCTCTTCTCCAGACTGAGCAGCCCCAAATTCCTTGACCTGTCTTCACAGGGCAGATGATCCAGTCTTCTAATCAAGTTTGTGGCCTCCTCTAGACTTTCTCCAACAGTTCCATGTCCTTCTCTAAGGGCATCAGACCAAGAGTCCCTCTCCAGCTTCCCTGTAGCCCCTTCAGATACTGATAGACTGCTATGAGGTCTCTACACAACCTTCTCTTCTCCAGACTGAGCAGCCCCAAATTCCTTGACCTGTCTTCACAGGGCAGATGATCCAGTCTTCTAATCAAGTTTGTGGCCTCCTCTAGACTTTCTCCAACAGTTCCATGTCCTTCTCTACACTAAGGGCATCAGAACTGCATGGAGTATTCCAGATGGGATCTTGAGAGCAGAGTAGAGGAGGAGAATCACCTCCTGGGACCTTAGATCCACTGCCTCCCTGGGCAACTTGTTCTAGTATCTCACCACCCTCACAGTAAAAATCTTCCTGTTATCTAACCTAAATTTCCCCTCCTTCAATTTGAATCTGTTACCCCTCATCCTATTGCTGCAGTTCCTAACAAAGAGTCCCTCTCTGGCTCCTCTGTAGCCCCTTCAGATACTGCTATGAGGTCTCCATGCAAAGAAACACAGCAGAGAGAGAATCAGGTCTATGTTTTGATTTTACAATCAACTGGGAAAACCTCTGAGCACCAGCTAGACCTGGATTTGGTGATCAAGATAATCAATCATACAGTGATTCTGTGTAGGAAAGCAGCTTTTATTT